GGTAGCAGCTTCCTCCTGCTGCTGGCAGATTGTGCCCAGGTCTCAAGAGTGATTCTGTCATGGCCTGGAGGTGGAACGTGTTGAACCAAATTACTCACTGGTAAAGATCATTTTAGTTTCACTCCTATAGCTGGAGTTCAAGAAAAATCTGCCTTGTATTCTTGGTGTCTGGAAATAGATGCTGATGCTGCAGTTCCAGAATTGCCTAAATCCTCTGTCTGAAGGAGGCTGTGAGGCTTGTTTAACTTGGGAGTTGAGACGCTTGTCCCATTCATTATCTTCACTAATTACCAAAGGCAGTTAAGAAGAGGAGATATGTTACTGGTGTTTGATCTCTTCTCCAGGTTGAGGTCTGGCTGAATCACGTGCTAGAAAGCATGAGGGCTACTGTGAGAGACCAGATGACGGAGGCTGTCACGGCTTACGAAGAGAAGCCAAGGGAACAGTGGCTCTTTGACTACCCTGCCCAGGTATCTCCCACTGCTCCTCATCTCCATTCAGGCTGGCATGTAGAAAGGCAGCTCTTGGCTTCCCCTTCAGACCTGCCCTTCCCCTCTTCCAGTCATGGCCTCTGGCTGTGGATGGGGATGTTTCTGACCTCCAATGCGCTGTCCAGGAGAGAGGAAGGATGAGTTGTCCTTTATCCTGGCAATCTCCAGATGGAGTTTGCAGGCTGAGCTCCATGCTTTGATTTGGGCTCCAGGGAGGATATGCTCTTGGCTGGGTTACAGAGCTCGGGGCTTTGGCAGTTCCTGCTGCACCCTGTGAGTAACGGGTAGTCTGTACACCCAAAGGAGCAAGAAGTGCAGCAGAAAAACAAAGTGGTGAGGCCTAATGAGAGAGAAGAGGCTTTCAGAGGCATCTCTAACAGCTTTGTGGTCTCCAGCTCTTCTGCTCTCAGACATTTGAAAGGTGCTGATTTGCTAATAAGTAGCTGCTAAATGTGTCTACCACTGATGTGATGTTTTAAAGTACTGTTTTCCTGTCTACTGTGACTCCTGTGTGAAAAAAATACTTAATTTCATGTCACAGATACTTCATCCTTGATCCCCTTGTGGATAAGACACTCTTGAATGTAAGGAAGCTTTGGTGCTTTCCTGTTTCCCTAGGTGGCCCTTTCCTGCACCCAGATCTGGTGGACAGCCGAGGTGGGAATTGCGTTTGCCAGGGTGGAAGAAGGCTACGAGAATGCGATGAAGGAATATCACAAGAAGCAAGTGGCCCAGCTGAACACCCTGGTTACCATGCTGATTGGGCAGCTCTCCAAGGGCGACAGGCAGAAGATCATGACCATTTGCACCATTGACGTGCACGCTCGGGATGTGGTGGCGAAGATGATAGCGCAGAAGGTTTGTGTGTGCAGCTCAGCACGGTCCCGTGTTGGGCATTGGAGTGGGGGGTTCAGGAGCGATTGGCCAACCACAAGCCTGCCTTAGTGGGAGGTGCATGACCAAATTTACTTCTGGCTCCTTACCACAAATGTTGGAGAAGGCCCCCGTATGCCTGCAGTGCTGTTGCAGTGCCTGCAGCATCAAGGAGCTTGCTGTATTTGCTACAGATTCACACCAGGACGGTGTGGCCTATTCTCCTGTTGCCAAGACATGTGTTGGTAGATGGTGGTGGTGTGTTAGGAGGCTTCTGGGTGCAGTCTCGGTTATAACTTCAGAAAGTAAGAAAAAGCATTCAGGTTGGTTTTGTTTTGTTTTGTTTTGTTTTGTTTTGTTTTTTTGGTTTTTTTTTGTTTGGTATTTTTTTTTGGTAGCTTCCTTGATCTGGTGTGGGGCCACAGGGACCCCTTTGGGACTTCTTTGTCCTGGACACCTCTCCCATGCTACTCCCTCATCTTTGATACTGTGCCATGCAAGGGTCCAGCCTTGCAGATGGGTGGGAAGGTGCCCCGAGTGTGCTGGGTTGCAACTCTACCCTCATCTGGGTCCTCCTGGAGGCAACCAGGCTGCTCGCAGGGTTTCTGTCTTCCAGGCTGTTGGTGGTGCCTTGGTCCAGTCCATGGTGAGGTAGCCCATCTCCCAGGCCTGCCTGCTGGCTGTGCAGAGAGAGCTGGCCATGGCTGTCCCTGTTCCCCTGTCCCCAGCCTGTTTCCCTGGTGCTGTCACCCCTTCCCAGTGTAGATAGCCTCTGCTTCTTCTCTCGGTCTTTGCATTGTAAGACCTCTCCATGTCCTGCTGCTTCCTAAATCTCCTCTTCAGGACTCTTTCTGTGCTGGTCTTTCACTTGGGTTTTCATTTTTTCCTCCCCCACCAACACAGTTTCTAGTTTGGTTCCTACCCTCTGCTGCTGGGAGATGGGGAGGTGACCTTTCCTCACCACATCTGCCCTCCCAGTGAGGACCAGTCCACCCCCAACAAAAACTTCATTGCAGTCACCATTTGGGCAACTGAGCTGTGTGTCCTTAGGCTTCTCACGATGCTGGTTGTTGGCGTGTTGCAGGTGGACAACGCCCAGGCGTTCCTCTGGCTGTCACAGCTCCGGCACAGGTGGTCGGATGAGGAGCGACACTGCTTTGCCAACATCTGTGATGCCCAGTTCCCGTACTCTTATGAATACCTTGGCAATACCCCCCGGCTTGTGATCACCCCACTGACGGACAGGTAAGTCCTGGGGAGCACCATCAGGGCTGGGCTTTGCCGTTCAGTGAGAGAAAGAGCTGCCAGCCAAAGATGGATTTAGCCTGGACACCCACATCCCTCTTGTTCTTTCTTTGTGTCCCAGCAATCCGGTGGCAGAGTCTAACTCTCACCTGGTTTGTGATTTGGTGGTGGTACCCTCTTCGGTATCTGTGTCTCGGGTCCCAGGGAAGGGTTCACCTCACAGACGAAGACACGCACTTGTGGGTGTCTACTGTGCAGGTGATGTCCACACCCCATAGAGCTGGGGAGTCTAGAAAACTTTCATCTCACTTTTAAGTAGACATCTGCTTGGTTCAGTTGTCTCAATGGGGACAGCTAGGGTGACTTGAGACACTCTGTGTTGTTCTACCTGCCAGTCCAGAAGTGTGCAGGTCTCCTGTGGACCCCTTTCCACCTTATGCAGTGTTTCAGTAGCCAGAAGTGTCTCAGGTGTCTCTAATCACCCATGTTAGTGAGCTGAGCTGAGCCCCTGGTGGGAGTGGGGATAGTGGATTTTGCTGGCCATATTGACTACAGCTCTTCAGCTTATACAGGGAGAATAGACAGCCACGTATGGGCACCTCCCTGGTGTCCATTATCAGCATGGTGGAGAAGCTTTTGGGGATTAGTAGAGCACTGAGTGGGATCATTCATAGTCCATCTGAGCATGTTGCTGTCAATGGAGGGAAATGGGATCCTCTGGGCTGAAGTACTGGGAAGCAGGAGGAAGGTCTTTTAGAAAAGCTGATCTTTTCTCCATCTGGGACATGCCCAACATCAGTGGCTGGCATGAGGATCCACAGAAAGCACAGTCTGGAGGTTGGGCAGACCCAGGTGGGAAGATGAGCTTCTCTTGGGGAGAATTGGGCTGGGCAGAGGTAGTAATTAATGTCCAAGAGGACTTACAGCTTAGACGTGTACCCTGCTCATGCAGAGCTTTTCAGAAGCGAGCTCCTCCCAAGGACATTGCTCTCGTGCAGCCCAGCAGTGACCTGTTGCACCAGGTTTCAGTCTCTTTCCTTTTTTCCTTCGTCGCTCGCTGTGGAAGATGTTACATCACCCTGACCCAGTCACTGCACCTGACCATGAGTGGGGCACCTGCAGGCCCTGCAGGCACTGGCAAGACAGAGACTACGAAAGATTTGGGGCGAGCCCTGGGCATCATGGTGTACGTGTTTAACTGCTCCGAGCAGATGGACTACAAGGTATTGCTCCTAGGGGCCCATGAAACCTGAAGGATCAGAGTAATCCAGATAAGATCACTTTGATCCATCACCTCTCCTTGAACCCTTGCTACATTCCTTTCTGCTGAACACCTTTTTCTCCTCCTCCCTTTTCTTCTTTAAGACTTGGAGAAGGTTATTCCAGAGACCTGAACCAGATCTAAACCTCTCCACCTCCTTATGCCTTTCCCTTCCCTTCTAGAGTTAGATTTCATGTGAAATGCTGCAAAAATTTGGTCCTGTTCAGCTGAGATCAAGGCTGTGCTGATATTTCAACCCTGGTAATTTCTTCTCAGCATGCTCACAGGCTGGCAGGCTCTGGCGTGGGAAGGGACCTGTCCTGATTTGCTCAGGGTCTGCTCCCAGAATTAGTCTAACATGTGCTGGACCTTCAGCCACTGCAGAACCCATGAGGCTGAGTCTGGCTCCATGCTGGGCATGGGACCATGATTTTGGTAGCCTCAGGTCACATTTTCTTCAGCTCCTGGGCTCTCCCAGACAGCAGGGCCATCAACACAGATGGCCTTTATGTGAAGCCACTGCACTGACATCAAGAAAGAGAAACAGCGAATCAAGTGGCAAACTGGGCAGAGCTGGAAATATTATAGTTGAGTTGTGCCTGCTGTTCCTGTGCTCTTTTCTAAATGCCCACAATACACTGTAAATTGCTACAAATAAACAGGGTGGGAAGTAAAATCCCTTTTTTGCTGGTGTTGATTCCATTTGTGATTTCACTCTTGTAATTTTTTTTTTTTTTTTTTTTTCAGTCTTGTGGGAATATTTACAAAGGCCTTTCCCAGACTGGGGCCTGGGGCTGTTTTGATGAGTTCAACAGGATCTCAGTTGAGGTCCTTTCAGTGGTTGCTGTACAGGTGAGTGGAGAGAGACTCATAAATAAATTCATAGAAGGCAGACCCGTGCTGCAGCCCGTGGAGCGAGGGTACACACGGGAAGTGTGTGTTGCCAGCTTCAGTCCATTGTGTTGGCAGAGGAGGGATTCCAGCCCCGGATTAGTCCCGTGAATATCGCAGCAGTGAGAGCATGCAGCAGTGATGTGCTGCAGACATTCGTGTCACTTCTTTCCTTCCCCCACTCTGGGCCATTGTGTTGAGGCATCTCTTTACACTGTCCTTTCCCAGATCCACACTCGGTGGCTCAGCACCTGCTCCTCCTCAGGAAGACCCTTGTGGGGTCATTATTGTGTTGTGGGATCATTGCAGCTCACCATGCCAGGGAAGAGAGCTGCCTTGACTGCTCAGTCTGCCACATAGGGAGTAGATTTCACAGGAGAGAAGGGCAGATCCAAGGCTTGCTGGACTCTTGGGGGTAACCTGTAGCCTCCAGTCAGGCACAGCTTGTCTGTCAGACTCAGCAGATACATTCCAGATGAATTTTTTTGGTGCTTACCTGTCACCAAACCTCTGCAGTCATTTTCTGTCAAGGTTTAGAGCTGGGCTGCCCACCAAATTAGTAACTGATACTCTGTCAACCCCTCTGTGTTCCCAAAGGGGAAGAGAAAGGGAATAAGGGAGGTGAGAGACTTATGGATTGGAAGAGAAAACTAAAACAGCTTTAATGAAAATAACAACAATAAAATGAAATATATACCAAATCAGCATGGAATCCAACCCCCCTGATGAGAATTATGTCACCATCACCACTGGTGCTATGGGCAGGCTTTGGAGAAATCCCAGACTGGACTCGGCAACGGATGGCAACTGGATTCAGGAGCTGGGTTCAGAAGTACACAGATTGGGATTGAAGGCAGAACAGACATGAGTCCTTCTTGGACACATGTCATTGAAGAAGAAGCTTGATCTTCATGATCCCTCAGCTTTACACAGAACATGCTGTATACAGGATGGAATTCCTTGTTGGTCAGTTTGGGGTCACCTGTTCTGGCCACTCCTCCCTGCAGGTGCCACCTCTGACTCACTACACCCCAACGTGGGGCACAAGATTGAGCAGTGACCTAGGTCTCCCCAGGAGCAAGTCTAAGCAAGAGCCTTTCTGCACAGCCCAGCCCTTGGCAGTGACTCTAAACACAGCGTGTTGTCACTGCTGGGAGCAGAGACTGGCTGTGAAATCTGCCCTGAACTTCAGCCAGTGCAGTCACTCAGAAGAGACTGAGCTGAAAAGTGAATCACTGACCAGAATTAATTCTGTTCTCCCTCAAACCAGGACAATTTCCTTCCGTTTGCGCTTAGAGGTGGGTTTATTTTCAGTGTCTGTAATGAGAACTATGTGAAATGGCTTTGGGGGGGATTCCAGGCCAAGTGACAGAATTCCTGGGGGGCATGTGGCAGCCCCAGGGGAGCAGAGTGGTGCTCCTGAGAGCTGCTGTCACCTGGGTGGCACTTGGTAACTGGAACCTGCAGCAGGTCTGCAGCCCTTGCTGATGTGCTTGCCTGAGACACACTGGTGTTCTGTCCTGGTTAGAAGGCAGAATTGTGTCCCACCTCCCTTATCCCTCAGTTTCCCAGATAGAGAGGTAAATAAGGAAGGCAGGGGTAATGAAAACCTTGCACCAAACTGAAAGTTAACAAAATGAAATATATTATTTAACAGGGATCAGAAAGGAAGAAGGGAAGGGGTTTAACAAGGTACAGAAAGGAAGAAGGGTAGGGGTTTAACAGGAAAGGGGGGTTGTAGGAACAACAAGGCAAGGAAGATTAAACTTCCAAATATACAAAACCCAAATGCTATGCTGAGGCTCCCCGGTGCTGGATCTCGCTGGATTGAGGTGGATTGAAGCTGGATGCACAATCCTTGGACGTGGATGGAGGCAGGGAAGAGTCTGCAGATCAGGCCCAGGTCTCCAAGATGGCCACAGCCACGTGTAGCACAGGGAGCAGCAGAACAGTGTGTGCCCAGGTAGAAGGTCAAAGGAGCAAGAGAGAGAGGTGTGCCTTCCTCGCCCCTTTTATAGACTTTGGCAGGAAGTCCCGAAGACAGGAAAAGGGGAGTGGGAATAGGACAGGTGTACGCCCCTTTCATTCAGGCTTGTACCTGGTTTAGGGTTTCAGATCTCCACCCACCAGGGGCAGCAGGTTTTAAACCATTACACCTGGTCACCTGGATTAAAGCCGGGAGAAGGCTTTTTGAGCTGTGCCTGGCTCTGCTTTGGAGTTTTCCCTGGAGAGCGATTTCCTTGGTTTAACCGTTCAGTGCACTTTATTGGTGAGCCCTGTGTGAAGCCCAGCAGCAGTCCTCAGAGAAGGGCTGAGGATTTCCCCCATTATGCCTGAAAGTCCAGTTCCCTTTTGCTTATTTATGACCTGGCACTTTGCCTTCTCCCTCCCTTCTCTTCTTCTTACTGACCCACAAGTGCTGCAGTAAGTGCTGCGGGTGTGAATCTGCTCTGGTGGGGACTGAAACCTGGCCCCAGGTATAACCATGGGGCTGCAGGATGAGAGCAGGCCCTGCTACCTCTTCTGGCCCTTGCTTTGAAGGAGAGCTGTGTCTGCATATTGTTTAGATCCTAAATCACGTTGGTATCACCTAAAAAGCCCAGGTAAATCCAGCTACCAGGGGAGTTTGGTTGGAGGGTGGATGCTCAACTGCTCTGTCCCCATCGAGGCAGCTCTGATGTGAGCAGAACTGAAAGATTTGAGCCTTGGGGGACTTCAGGGCTGAAAAAATAAGTGCCCAAGTTTTTCTGGAACTAAGTGTCAGCTGAATGCAGGTTTTAGAATCTCACTGTCTGACTGAGGTGCTGAGTTCTCCCTAGACCCGCTTTTGGACTCGGTGTTACACAAAGAAAGATCTAGAGCCCAGAAGTTTTTACACTTTTGTAAATGTTTTGGTCAAAGACGTTGTTCTGAACCCCTCCATGAGCTCCTCACTCTTCTCATCTCTCTTTCACTTGTAACTGGTACCTTATGTGAGATCCCAAAGAAGCCCCGGGCGGGTACAGGAGTTTGTGTATCATTCCCTCTCAATTTCTCTTCCATCAGGTTCTAATTTAAAGCTGTCATTGAAAGAAAGTCTTTGAGGATCTTAAAATAAAAAAGGAAGCTGAACAAAAGAAGCCCAGATATGACTCAACTGCTAATGATTCCCTCGCTCCTGGCTGGAGCACAGCATCTGAAGCAAGCAGCAGGGCTGTCATTCCATCACCGAGTCTCCTGGCTGCTGTTAGGGGTGTAACCATGGCGATGTTTAATTGGCTGCCTTAGTCACGCAGCTAATGTCGATAGGGTTCCTTACAGAGAAAAATTCCATTAATTGCTTCACTTGAAGATGGCAAACAGCAGTAAGGTTAGAGGAGTGGATATAGAGAGATTCCTCCCTCTGCTGTTTGCAGAGAGGTGATCCAGCTTTAATAAACTTGCTCTCCTTGGAAGGTGAGGAACGAGAAGAATAAAGTTGCAATCAGGCAGATAGAAAAGACTATATAGTATTAGTCAGTGAAGGTGTCAGGGGAGGTCTTGCAGCTTCTGCCTTTTGGGTTTGGTTTTAAATTAAGCATCTGATGTCCCAAAATCTTTAAAAGTGATACGAGATGATGAGTCTCCAATTGAGCTGAGGCCAGGTTTGTTGGGAAATGCTGCTTCTTCTCTGGATGTAGTCAAGGGACAGAGCAGATACTGGAGAGCTTTGGGCTGTTGTGAGTAGCAGTGGGATGTGGGGAGGGGTGCAGGTGGGTGGAGGGAATCAGGGGCCCATATTCTGTCAGACTCTTGGGCTGCATTTGGGTGTTGGCTGTGCTTTGGGTGCCACATCCATCATTGTCTTACCAAGCTAAGGTGCAAATTCTTGCAACCCCTTGGTAGTTTAACTGCCCGGTCTCTTCAACTCCCTTTTCTACTTTGTCAGACTTTGATTGTGATGGGACATTGATACTGTCACACAAGTGTACTCCAAAGAGCATATAAAGATTTACATGGTCAGTAAAGAGACAAAACAAAGCAGTGGAAAGCCCTGTTGGTCCTGGGACCCAGGGTAAGGAAGGCAGCACTGTTGTCTGGTGTGCTTTTCATAACTGAACATCAAACATCAGTCGTGTTCTGCCTTGGTTCCTAGGTGAAGAGCGTGCAGGATGCAATACGGGAGAAGAAGAAATCCTTCAATTTTCTTGGAGAAGACATTAACTTAGTCCCCTCAGTAGGCATTTTCATCACCATGAACCCTGGATATGCCGGACGAACAGAGCTACCTGAGAATTTAAAAGCTCTCTTCAGGTGAGTCCAGGCCAGATCTGTAGTTTCCTGGATCTTCCTTCTTGCCCTTTTTGAAGACTGGAGTGATATTGACTTACCTCCAGTCCTCAGGCACCTCTCCCGTTTGCCACAATTTAGCAAAAATGATGGAGAGTGGTAGAGTGACAACATCAGCCATTTCTCTCAATACTCTTGGGTGCATCTCATCAGGGCCCATGGATTTATGTATATTCAGTTTCATTAACTGACCACTGACCCATTCTTCATTTACTAGCAGAGAGTCTTCCCCCTTCCAGGCTTTTTTTTCCTGCAGCCAGGGTCTGAAGTTCTCGAGGGCTGGTCTCAGGGTTAAAGACCAAAGCAAAGGCAGCAGCATTCAGCAGCTCTGCCTTCCCTGCATCCTCAGTGATCAGGGCTGTGCCTCGTTCAGCAGCGGGCCCACACTGCCCCTAGTGTTTCTTTTACTACTGATAGATTTGAAGAAGCCCTTTTTGTTCTCTTTTACTTCCTTTGCTAGTTTTAGTTCTAAGAGGGCTTTGGCATTCCTTACTGCCTTCCTACATGTCCTGACTATCTCCCTATATTTCTCCCAAGTGACAGGTCCCTTCTTACATGAGCTATACACTTCTTTCTTCCATGAGATTTCCTTCAGAAGCTCCCTGCTTATCCATGCAGGTCTCTTAGCTCATTGACTCGATTTTTTATGCAAGGGAACACACCTATCTTGGGCTTGGAGGAAGTGGTATTTAAAAACTGACCAGCTTGCTTGGGCCCCTTTACCCTCCAGAGTCACAGCCCATGGGATTCCCACAAGTAGATCTTTGAAAAGTGCAAAGTTAGCCCTGCGGAAGTCCAGGGCTGTAATCCTACTTGTTGTCCTGCTTCTACCTTGTAAAATACCAAACTCCACCATGTCATGGTCATTGTCTCCAAGGCTATTCCCAACCTTAATGTCCCCAACCAGTCCTTCTTTATTCGTTAATACGAGATCTAGCAGTGCACCTCTTCTCATCAGTTCCTCCACTACCTGCATTAAGAAGTTATCAGCATGTTGTGCAGTCTTTTCTTGCCTGTTTTTGTAGGCCCTGCGCGATGGTCGTGCCAGACTTTGAGCTGATCTGTGAAATCATGTTGGTGGCTGAGGGATTCATTGAGGCCCGGGCGCTAGCCAGGAAGTTCATTACTCTGTACCAACTCTGCAAAGAGCTCCTGTCCAAGCAGGTGAGCACTCTGCTGTGGTTGGATGGTACCATGAAGCCTGTTGATCTCCAAAATCAGTAGGAAGATGCTGCTTTACTACTCAGCTCCATGGCTGAATGTCCAGAGCTTTTTTTGATGACTGCCTTTGCACTAGCTGCTGGGAGAAGAGAAGGTTTGTGATAATCAGAGCAATGAAATTTTCAAATGGCTTTAATGGAGGACCTGCAGAGTCAAAAGCACTTGACCAGCTGTATTAAGGGGAGAGTGGGCTCAAACTCCACCATATTTGGGGCAGTATTAAGTGGCCCTTTGCTTTCCAGTCTCTTGATTCCCATTCATTCCCCTGCTTGCAAGAGTTTTGTGATGTCTGTCCCTCTCTGAGTTCAGTGTAATAGTTCCCTGTCTTGTCAGTGTTGACCAAGTAGGGTCACTTCTGGTGTAGAGCGCTAATTAATCAGATTTTTAATTGTTGTTATTTGCATAAATGAAAACTGTCTCCAGAGAAGAGCTGGGTAAGGATGGAAAACCTGATCTTGGCTGTGCCAGCATGAGGCTGGACAGGAGATGCCTTGTCACAGAAACTTTGTGCTGTGTCTTGGAGATCTTGGTGGGAATTGTGGCCTCTGACACAAATTAGTCAGTTATTGGGCTGTGCTCTGGAGGGTTTTAACAGAGAAGAAATAGAAAGAGTTGCTTGTTAGCTTAGGAATTCCTCTCATGCTTTTTTGTCGTCCTTTTTCAGCACTGTCCTTATGGGCTTTTGTTTGGTGGCCTGCCTCTGGGACAAAACATGCCAAACATACCTGAAAATCTTGTGATGGACAGGATGGAGAAACTTGGATATTTAGGGCCTCATGGTGGACTGATAAATATTTCACCTGGGTAGCTCCTGCAAATCCAGGGATCTGGCTGGCCTTGCTTTAGCTGCTTTATTATTTAGGGGAAACAAATTTCTCATGTCTCTGGAGTGCAAGTCCTTCTGCTGTCTCACTGCCAACTCTGAGCCTACGTAATGGTGTGAACAACTGAACTATCTGACTCTTTGATAGTGTCCCTGATGGGAATCTCACCTGCTGAAATGGAAATCAGGTAACTTAGGCTGGTGGAGGTCATTGGCCACAACGCAAATAACAGGTTTGGATGCATTTCCATTGCTGACTTGTCTGGTGGTTCTTCCCCCTGCATGGTGATGTACTGTCTAAACACAAAGTCATCCCTCCTTTTTTTTCCCCCCATGTAGGATCACTACGACTGGGGCTTGCGTGCTATCAAGTCTGTGCTTGTTGTCGCTGGCTCCCTCAAGCGAGATGACCCGGAGCGACCTGAAGATCAGGTTCTGATGCGCTCTCTTCGTGACTTCAACATCCCCAAGATTGTGACTGATGATGTGCCGGTGTTCATGGGGCTTATTGGGGATCTCTTCCCTGCTCTGGATGTGCCTCGGAAGTGTGACCTGAATTTTGAGTCATTTGTGAGGCAGGCTGTGCTGAACCTCCAGCTGCAGGCTGAGGACAACTTTGTGCTCAAGGTAAGACCAGGTGATCTTCTGCTGTGCCTACTTTGCTATCAAGTGATTTGGGTTTTCTCAACCATCTCTGCTTCTGCAGAGAGGTCTCTGTGTGGCTGCAGAAAAGCAGAGCCTCACTGGCTGATGGCTGTTGGATGTCAATAGTGCTGGAGGTCTCTCTGCAGCCTGAGGATTTCACCCATCATGGTCAGAGTGGCTAGACCAAACTCAATGTCCAGCCTGTTTGCGTCTCGGGGCAACATCTCTCTAAAGAAGAGGCCCAGGGGAGCTATTTTGTAGGTCTGAACTTCAGTTTGACATGTTTTTTCTGAAGTTTGTGAGTGTTTTTTCTTAGGTGGTGCAGCTGGAGGAGCTGCTGACAGTCCGGCACTCTGTCTTCGTGGTGGGTAACGCAGGCACAGGCAAGTCCCAGGTACTGAGATCCCTGCACAAGACTTACCAACTAATGAACCGACGTCCTGTCTGGACAGACCTCAACCCCAAGGCAGTCACCAATGATGAGCTTTTTGGCATCATTAACCCATCAACAAGAGAATGGAAAGATGGTAAATGTCTTTTCATGCCTGACTCTATGGCTAAAGAAGGATGTTTTTAATGGACTTCTGAGCAGCAGCAGCTTGACTGCTTCTCTGAGGTCTGAAAGCCCAGGCATTTGTTTGCTGCTCACAGCCATGTGAGAGTTTGCTGTTGGAAGGATGCGAAGGATATATTAGCTTTATATATTAGCTTTCTGATCTTCCAATGATCTGGACAGGTTGGATGGTCAGGACAGGTTCAATCACTGGGCTGAGTTCAACCATACGAGGTTTAACAAGGCCAAGTGCCGGGTCCTGCCCTTCAGTCACAACCCCCTGAAATGCTCCAGGCTTGGGGAAGAGAGGCTGGAAATTGCCTGACAGAAAAGAGCCTGAGGGTGTTGGTGGACAGCCAGCTGAAAATGAGCCAGCGTGTGGCCAGGACGTCCACCAACATCCTGGCCTGGATCAAGAGTAGTGTGTCCAGCAGGAGTAGGGCAATGATCGTGCCCCTGGACTCAGCAGTGGGGAGACCACAGCTTGAGTACTGGGGTCAGTTTTGGCACCATAGTAGAAGAAAGACTTTCGGGGGGCTGGAGCAGGTCCAGAGAAGGGCAATGAAGCTGGTGAGGGCTCTGGGGAACGTGGCTTGTGAGGAGCAGCTGAGGGACCTGGGGGTGTTTAGTCTGGAGAAGAGGAGGCTGAGGGGAGACCTTATTGCACTCTATAGCAATAGTATGAGAGGAAATGTTGCACCAGGGGAGATTTTGCTTGGATATCAGAGCAATTCCTTTCCTGCAAGAGTGGTGAGGCATTGTCCCAGGCTGCCCAGGGAGGTGGTGGAGTCACCATCCCTGGAGGGATTAAAAAAAATGTGTGGATGTGGCAATTTGGGATATGGTTTAGCGCACATAGTAGTGCTGGGTTGGTGGTTGGTCTTGATGGTCTTGAAGGTCTTTTCCAACCTTAACAATTCTATGATGGAAAGTATAGCATGAGCCTGCCTCATCCTACTGTCATAAGAATAATTATCATGTCCATTAATACCCTACTGATACCAACACTTACCGATTCCTAAATGGGACAGGCAGTTTTTTGGGTTTGGATGGCCTGGTGATGGAAGGGAGTTCCTCCTGCCTTATGGTGTACACCGGGGCCTCCCAAAGTCTGCCAGTCTTGGTTTTCATAGCTGGTAGAACACACACAGCAGCCTTTAAGTGTTGTCCTTCCACTTAATATTGCTGCCCGACCTCTGTAGTACACCAGCATTTGCTAGGCTGTTGATCCTGATTGCTCCTGAGGAAATTAAGATGAGCATTTAAATCTTGCTGAGAGGTTACAGAGATCTGGAGTGACAATCTGCTTGTGACTAATGCAGAAAAGCAGCTTCGATCTACATGTGTGGCTGGTTTGGGAGGTGTGGGGGAGTGAGGGGAGATGTTGCCATAAATCATCCTTGGCCACAAGTCCACCAGGAGATGAGCTGCCACCCACCTCCCCTGGCCCCTGCCGTGCCCCTGCCGTGCCCCCTCCTGACCCCCTGCTTTGCTCCAATGCCAGGGTTAACTTCTTTTTGATTGTAATTAAGGACCCTAAGTCAAGCTGACAGAGGGAGGTGTGGGACACAGCCTGAGCTGTGCAGACGGGCTGTGCAGTGACTGCAGGGCGAGGACTGCGGGTGGCACTGAATAGCAGGAGGGACGTTTTACAAGTGGCTGGCTGGTGGTTTCCAGCCTGTAACGTTTCAAAGGAGCTTACAGGACTCCTCCCCAAGGCTTCAAAGCAGGTATTTCCCTTAACCATTAACCATTCCTGAAAATGTTGGTGTTTGTTGTCCAAGACCAGCAGGGCAATCTTCACCACAGCCTAACAGGAGGTCATGTGTTCCCATGTGGATCAGCCCCTTCTTTTCCTTTTCCCTTTTTCATCCTGTCACTCCTTTCGTTATCAGGAGTTGAAAAGGTTGTACATGTTAGGTGGTAAAAGGTCCCATAAGAGAATCCTAAAAGTGTTCTTTGTAGAAACAAACTCTTCTTTTAAATCCCAAGGCTGTTTTGTGATGGGGATGCACAAGGCAAGGAGAGAATGTTCTTCTCTGCTGCTGTCATGTTGTGTGAGGGGGAAGTATTGATGCTCTGAGATAGTGCCTATTTCTGACACTAATGACCTTGAAGTAGTCTCCAGGGCCTGTGTCCAACCTGTGAGGGACTGAGTCGAGGCAGAGCCAGTGAAGTGTTCTTTTTCTGACCCAATCTCAGAGTCAGATGCCCATTTCAGGTGAGCTGCTCTGTATTTGCTGTGCACAAGCTTTGTCTTCAGTCATGTAACACCACTGGCTAGCGCTGGCCTGGATCACAAAGAAAAAGCTTGTCCTGGAGAAAAAAAAAGAGCGTGCTTGTCCCAGTTCACCAGAAGAGAGGCTTTTTTTTATAATGTTTGCATGATGTTTTTTCATGAAGACCAGCATCTCCCTAGGTATTTTCACATGTAGAGGGGAGCTCCAGTTTTGGTGAGTTTTCATTTGCTCTGCAGTGCTGCTGCTCTATTCCCAGCCTTCTTGCTCTTCTTAGCATTCATTATTTACTCCCCTCAAGACACTGTATCCTTTCTGTCTCCTTGACTTTACTGACATTTTGTTCTGTCATTCAATGTCATTCTGTGCTAGTTCTCCCCTCAATCTCACTAAAGCCTTAGACCCAGTGTTTAATGCATCTTGATTTCCCTGATATACTTCGAGCCACAAAAAAAAGCATTTATAAGAATTTCCAGGGCATATTCAGATTATTTTCTCCGCATCTTGTAATTCATGCCTTCTTTTACCTCTGAGTATCTGCTCTTCTCTTTTCTTATCCCTTATGGTTCTCGGTGGGAGTGAAGCTCGTGTGCAGTGCTGCAGTCATTTCCAGGGGTGGTAACTGATAATGTTTTTTTCTTTAAAGTACACTAGACTTCTGTTGTGATATGGTAATATTTATGGACAGATGTGTAGACTTTTGAATGCTTAAGAGGAAAGCATTAATTAGGATTATTTTGGTAACTTGTTAGAGAAAACTGTTAGAGCAAGTGGCAACTCCAGTGTTCATCAGCATATTCCTGTCACCCTCCCAGGTCTGTTTTCATCAATCATGCGAGAGCTGGCCAACATCACACATGATGGTCCCAAGTGGATGGTACTAGATGGAGATATTGATCCAATGTGGATTGAATCTCTTAATACCGTGATGGATGATAATAAGGTAATGAATATAAGTTGAAGAAGCGGGTATTCCTTGACTGCATGGGGTGGTTTAGCCTGGGAGAAATGCAGATGCTGAAATAACACCTCCTAGGATAATGAAATTGTGTTTCTTCAGCTATACCAAACAATATTGCAAAAAGAAAATGGTGCATGAGGGAAATAGCTCAGAGCATATTTCATTGGAATTTCCCTTTATTGGAGAGTCGAGCTCACAAGTAACCACAAATTTCCTGATCGTAACCTCAGGCCCTTTAAAAAGTGTGGGGCCATAATCCTACATCTTTCTTGCCCACCCTAAGGGAGTGCTGTTGTGGAAGAGAGAAAGATTGTTCTACTACCGGTTAGAAATCAGCTGCTTTGCCTCCAGGGGCTGGGATGACAGCAGCCAAGCTTTTTAGTGACTTTAATTCCTGTTCCTGGGGAGGCTCTAGTCTGTCTGTCTGTCTGTCTGCCACATGCAGGTGCTGACCCTGGCAAGCAATGAGAGAATCCCTCTGAACCCAACAATGCGGCTGGTCTTTGAGATCAGCCACTTGCGCACAGCCACCCCAGCGACCGTGTCCAGAGCAGGTGAGTCCTGGCCTGAGCTGCACACTGGGAGTCTGCATGGACCAAGTAGGATCTAGTGCCATTAACCAGTCTTCTGTTGGTCAGCTTGATCCCTCTTGAAAGTTCCCAACCTGGGATCACAGCTGCCTTTGGTGGACAGGGTAGGCTTCTGAAGCACATGGACAGACTTGAGAATCCTGACTCCAAATCCATACAGGGAGCTGCCATCACCTTGGAGATTTACCCAGAAGTCTCTGTTTATGGGTGATCATGGCTTCAGCACTGCTGAGAGAGTGCTCCTGTTGTGCTAAGCACTGAAGCACTGTAGAGACTTGGTGAGGAGAGGGGACAGTCTCTATCCCAAAATGCTCCTGATCTTCTGGAGAAGTTCATGAAGTATGGGAAGTGAATGAAGGTGTCTTCTGGTTTTATACGTGGGGAAATGGGACCCAGAGCAATAGCTTGACTCAGGCAAGACTATGTTCTGAATTTGGGGCAGGGTCCTGAAGGGTGTCCTGGTCTCTTGAGTTAAGTCTCTTCACTGTTAATGTTTCTACTCTGCAGTGGGGCAGGAGGAGGGGGTAGGTAACAGGGCACCCAGGTGTATTTGGCAGGGTTTTAGTTGTGTGAAAGTAGCTCAGAATTCTGCTGGAGGAAGGGGATAGTCTCTGCTGTGTCCTTACTATACGTTCTCTCTTACCCTGGGCCTGAAGGGATCCTATACATCAACCCATCAGATCTGGGCTGGAATCCCCCGGTGAGCAGCTGGATCGACAGGCGCGAGATCCAGTCTGAAAGAGCCAACCTGACCATTCTGTTTGATAAGTACCTGCCTGTTTGCTTGGACACCCTGAGAACAAGGTACCATCAGAAGAGTGATTGTATCTCCGGTGGCAAGGGCAGGGGAACACTTGGCACTTTCCAGACCAGCTGTGCTGTGCTGGGGTTCTGTCTCAGGTGGCACAGGTGGCTGGCTGCCTTCTTGCCACTGAGAGCCTCAAGCTTCATTGGCTTAAGCTCAGAGAAACAACGGGATGAGGTGGGGGAGCTGACACTTCTGCCCATCATTTGTTGGTCAGATCTGGTTTTCACTGGGTATTGATTTAGTTGTTCCTGTACTTCTTGCACAAGTTCTCTACCTCTTGGAAAGTAAGTCCAGAAGATCCTAAAGAGAAAGTCTTCAGTCTCCTGCTGTGTCACGCTAGACCTGAGTTCATTATTTTTCATTAGAGCAGGTTTCAGACCCTTGCTGAAGGAAAGTTTTCAGTAGCAGTGTGGAAGGTGGAGAGAGGAGATCCTCTTTTATCCTCTCCTAGTTCTTTTCCTGCCCCTCAGTGATGAGAAGAAAATTAGTGTTTGTGGGAGAGGGTGGGATTGCTCTTCAGGCAGTTCTCTCTTGAATTTCTTTCCTGATGCATTTGAACAAAATTAACAATCTGTAGGGGAATCCAGCCTGGGTTGGACACCAATCCAAAGAACATGAAGAACCTGGGTATTTGGAAGGGCCCTGATGCTTGGCCTAAGTTAGCTTCGCAGCAGTACCCACAGAGAGGTCATGTGGTTCTTGCTTGTCATGCTGGAAGACATCTCTCTTACTGATGCTGTGGTGAGGACTGGTCAAACCAAACATGAATAAGGGAGCTTCTCCTATCGTCTCCTTGCTTCCCATAACAGCATCTTCATTAAAAAAAATAATAATTAAACCCCAGGTCTGTGTGCAATGGGAGCATGGGAGTTGCCAACCCCAATGGGGACATGTCCGAAGGGACTGTATTAGTGCAAGTGGGGGTCATTGGAAGTAGGAGGTAGGGATATTTAGGAAGCTGCTCCCTGGGTGACCAAGCTGGCTGTTGGCAGCAAAGCCCATAGGACATTTCCCGCTCTATTTGCTGAACGTTGTGTCAGACCATGAAATCCCTGGGATTAGCTGCAGGCAGCCCTGAGCTGAGTATTTTGGTCGCTTGCTTAATTCAGAAATTGTAGAACCAACCTTTCAAATAGCTGTAATTACTTTATGGAGGATTTCAGTGCTGCTACAATATTAGTTTGGAATTCTGTAAGTGTAACTTAAATGAATGTAAAATGGCAAGATGAAAGGTTTTATTTTATTACTCCTCTATCTGACCGCTTTTGAACTTGCCGTGTTCCCAGGAAATCGTTGCCTTTAGCTAGTCTTCCATTTTACTTCTTTCAAGAGGATCAAAGTTTTAAAACGCTTGAAACGTCTGATTATTGTTATTTCTTGTGTGTGTGCTGGTGGCAGCAGGTCCGGGGCGGGCAGTGGCTGTTCTCTGTGTTGCTGTGCCCAGGAATAAAACACCCACTGCTGGCAAGGAACATGCTAATGTTCTGAAAAAGCCTTTCTAGATTTGTTCCTGGGTTGTGAGTGACTGTGCTGCTGGACCCAATTATTTTTTTCTGTGCTTTCAATTTCCATCCCTTAGATTTAAGAAGATTATTCCCATTCCTGAGCAGAGCATGGTTCAAATGTTGTGCTACCTCCTGGAATGCCTCCTGACGGAGGAGAACACACCTCCCGACTGTCCCAAGGAGCTTTATGAACTTTACTTTGTCTTTGCTGCTGTCTGGGCCTTTGGTGGATCCTTGTTTCAAGACCAGGTAAGAAGAGAGATGCCACTTCAGCATCAGGACTTTTTTTTTCCTTTTTTCTTTTTTTTTTCTCCTTTCCAAGGTATAGTGCTTTATCAGAAATATTTTTTTTCCTAGAGCTCTCATATAGGTGATAACAAACTAGAAATCTGAACTCAATTCCTTTTGTGAAAGACCTCAATACCCAGGGTGTAACACTAGAGGAGGACAGCTGAAAGGTAAAGTGACAAAAGGCAGAGGGATTGGCCCCTAACTATGAGAAAGATACCGAGGTTCTGGGCCATGTCCAGAGAAGGGCAACAAAGCTAAGGAAGGGTCTAGAGCACAAGTCCTGTGAAAAGCAGCTGAGGGACCTGGGGGTGCTGAGCCTGGAGCAAAGGAGGCTCAGGTGAGACCTTCGGGCTCTCCACAGCTCCCTGACAGGAGGTTGGAGGCAGGTGGGGGTCAGGCTCTTCTCCTAAGGAACAAATGATAGGACAAAAGGAAACAGCCTCAAGTTGCACCAGGAGAGGCTAAGCTTGGACATTAAGAAAGATTTCTTCTCCACAGGGGTTGTCCAGGGATGTGCCAGGCTTCCCAGGCAGTAGTCCCCATTCCTGGAGAGGTTTCCAAGCTGTGGAGATGTGGTGCTGAGGGACACGGGTCAATGGGGACCTGGCAGTGCTGGGTTAACAGCTGGGCTTGATCTTAAAGATCTCTTCCAACCTAAAAGATTCCGTGATTCTATTTTTTTGCAGACACATTTCATTGAGAAGAAACATTGGGTTAATTCATAGAGGCCTGTGGATGTGCCTAGTGTGATCAATTAAGCCTGACTTATCAGATGGATCTATCAGTGGAATAGTCCGTCAGCCATCTGACTGCACAGGTGGATGTTGTGCTTGATAGCACACACCAGCCAGTGCTTTGTCACCACTGACTTTTATTAAATGTAGGTGGACATCAGGAATCAGCTATCCTCAACTTCTGATAGAAGTAGACATGAAACTGGCCTAGGGGTGGTGAGCAGGGCAGGATGGGCTTTGGGGGTTGTGTGCTTCCACTTAAGTGGAAGTGGACAGTGGCTCTGCTTTTTGTGCTGGGAGCATGCTGTTGAGGTTGAGGTTGATAGCTGTAGGCACAGAGCTTGACCTCCCCTCTGGACAGCCAGCAGTTGGGTGGTCTCTGGCATGAGCTGCGGGGCTCAGTCAAGCTGTTGGTGGGTGGATGTTCACACCCAAGACTGTAGTGATGGAGGGTACAATCTAGAGACCAAGATCTCCTTGGTCCAGGAGGATGAATCAGATACTAGTGGTGTTTCTGATGTTCAAAGTACACTCACATCCAAGAGGCAGAGGAGGACAAGTCACCTCTCTCCATGCTGCTTCCCACAGTGCATCTGTCCCAGAGGTTCACTGCAGCCATCCGCTCCTGAGTCCAGCAGCATTAGACAAGTGGGTATGATCTCTTGCATGGTGGTGTTATTGTAAGACAGGTTTCTCCAGGTCAGCATTTGATGCTGCGCATTTTCAGCCCCCTTTCAGGTCCTGGTCCTTAAAAGATGGGAGAAGAACAGATATTTCTAGCTGGGCTGACACACAGCTGCTTTGGTGGGAGCTGTCACCTGTAAACAACAAGGATCTTTGGAAGGATCTTCTCCAGGCTTGCCCGGGGAAGTAGGCTTGTGCTGTTACCTCTGACCTCCCTGTTCTCTGTCTCTCCCTGATGTCTCATGCCCAGGAGAGGAGAAATGGGCATTTCCCTTCGCCCTGGGCCCTATCCTGCCCCGTTCCCTGGCTGCGTGGCGCAGCGGGGCTGTCTCTTGATTTCCAAGTAATTGGAAAAGCTGCTGCTGTGTTACAGCTTCCAACTGTGAGCAGCAACAGTGGAGAAGACAGTGGGCTGTATGTCAGAGCCCTGCTGCCAGCCCTGCTGACATTGGGGCCACCCTTAGCTCTGTCCCGTGGTTTTGTGCCCATGCTGGCAGGACATCTTTCCACCCTCTTTTGGCACTGCTGTTTCCAGCTTGATGGCTGTGCAAGCTGGAGATGTTTAATGTCATTGGTTCAGAGGCAGGCAGGAGAAACCTGAGGCACTTGCAGTGGAGGCTAAGAGCACATGTGGCATTTAAAGACAGATTTTGAGTACCATATTTTCAGCAAGTGACACAGGGGACAATGTGGGTAGCTGCAAAGCCTGCTGGAGCTGCTCACTCTGGTGCTGCCCAGTCCCTGCTGGGAATCTGCTGGAGGGTTGCATCTGCTGGTCAGAGGATACCTTGTCCTGAGGTCTAAAGCATGTTGTCCTGATGTGTAGATCTGCATGTGTAGGTCTGCCCTGTGACATGAAACTGCTACCCGGGGATCAGAGATCTGGTCTCTAGTGGGCTTGTGTCCAGCTCTGTGTTGTCTGGACTATGTAGGATGTCTCTCCAAGGAGATCTTTCCCCGGTTCAGGTGGAGGCACTGCTATTCCTACAGGCAGCTCAAGTGCTCACTGAGGTTTCTTCATAGCTTTTCAATGTGCCTCACTGCTAGACCAGAAACGTCTGCTGGACTCTGCACATTTACTTCATGGTAAGGAGCAGATGTTTCAGCAAGTGCTGAACAACACAGCTCAAGCTCAACTTGGTGCTCCCTTGCTGCCAGCATGACACGTGGCCATTGAATGACCTGTGCGAGAGCAGCTTTCTTGGGCCTTGTTGAAGACTTCACCCTCCACTTCCCACCTGCCAGCTGGGAAGCACTCAGCTTTGTGAGGTCAGTGTAGGGTGGCTTTTGAACGCCCCAACCCAATGTAGCCTGGGAAGCTGCAGGACAAGCCAAGCCTTGCTTCAGCAAGACAAGCCTTGCTTCAGCAGGGCAGGCTGCGGTCCAGGTACAGGAGCTTACAGCTCTTCAAGCACTGGGGAGCAGTGGCCTTGGCTCAGTGTGGTCTCCACACAGAATCACAGAATGTTAGGGGTTGAAAGGGACCTCCAGAGATCATCGAGTCCAACCCCCCTGCCAGAGCAGGACCATCTAGTCTAGGGCAGGTCACACAGGAACGCATCCAGACGGGTCTTAAAAGTCTTCAAGGTAGGAGACTCCACAACCTCCCTGGGGAGCCTGTTCCAGTGCTCTGGAACACTTAAAGTAAAGAAGTTCTTCCTCATGCTGAGGTGGAACTTCCTGTGCTCCAGTTTGTGTCCATTGCCCCTCGTCCTATTGCAGGGTACAAGGGAAAACAGGTTGCCCCTTCCTTCTTGACACCCGGCCCTCATCTGTTTGTACACATTAATACAGTCTTGCTGGGCTGCTGGGTGGTTGCAGGAGGATCTGTGCCCCATGGCCCAAGCATCTCCCTGGAGGGGTTGCCCTGGAGGCTGGGCTGTGCCCGGCTGCTGGGGGTGCTCTGTAAATGTCAGAGGATGCGGCAGTCCGGGCGAGGGAAGCACGGTCAAAAATGATCCAATATAAAATCTGTTTATTGCTCTCCATCGAAGGTGCCCTTCAGGCTGACCTTTTGCTACCAAAATGTCAGGAGAAACAGTCTGGAAGGTTTCCCTCTACTCCATGCTCGTTGGTGGGTTGCGGGGCCCCTGTATACAAACAGAAGATGGATTTGCCATTTCCAGGAGCTGAAATGAAGGGAAATCCATCTGAGGTTTTTATTAAGGAAGCTGTTTGAGCCTGACATTGCTGTGGGAGCAGAGCTGGAGCAGCTCCAGGTCACTGCAGGGCTCGGGAGGTGGGCAGCCCTTCGCAGAACTGCTGTGTTTGCCCGCAGAGGGGTCAGGACACCCTTGGGGGGAAGCTCTCAGTACGTCCCTCACCACTGCAGGCTCCTCTGCCACCAGGACCGAGGAGTCAGAGTGACAGGAGAGTGGAGAACTGCAGTTATCCTCCCTCTCTGAATAGCACAGGACTGCAAAATCCTGGCTGCTAATAACATGGGTTTCAAATCCTTTGGGCTTTCGATGGATGGAGGCTCAGGAGACTTTACAGAGGACACTCAGTTCAGCTCAGCTTCAAACCCAGGTTTCCTGGTGGAGGATGAAGGGTCTGTGGGTAATGTGTGGGTGGTCCCACCTGGGCTTCCAGCACTTTGAATGGCTATGGGGAGGGCAGACCTGGAGATGCCCCAGGAAGAAACCGTGCTGTTAAAACTGGCTAAATTATGCATCCAGTGTTTTGCAGACATCTTGCCCTTCCTTCCCCCACCTACTTCTCCCCAGGGCAGAAGGCTGAGGTCCCTGATGGATGAGAAGATGTTCAGGCAAGGGACTGGCCCAATGTCACACAGGAGACCTGGGGCAGGGGAAGGAACTTGTGCATTTTGCAAGTCCTGACCCAGCACCTAAAGCAAACTGTGTTGACAAAATTCAGATTCTCCAAAATCCCCACGCAGGGATTGATAGAGTGGGGAAGGACAATAAAACTGGAACCCAGCAGAGCCAAAGGGACACAGCCCCTCTTGGAGCGTTGGTATGCTGCTGTCTGCAATCCTGCTTCTCCAAAACATTGTGGCTTGAAAAGAGGCCAGGAAACAACAACTAAGTATTAAGAGTGGCGTGATTTATGAGGACAGGCTTTAGCATGCATGCTTTCACTAACCATGGCCACAGACATAGACGGATGTTGTGTCCTTGTCTGTTGGAAGTAGACACCAAGAATCAATCAAGTGGTCTGTTTAGTCGTAGGCACGTTTTTCTCTTTTTCAAATTGATCCATCTATCTAATCTCAGACATACCAAGAGTGATCAACACAGGGGATGAATTACTTAGGTGAATAAATAGAATTGATGAGAAGAAATGAAGAAAATGAAAAATTAGGCTTAATAATAGGAAAAGGGATAAGATTGTTACACTGTGGAATATATTTTAAGGGCTAATCCCGCTCTGGTGGGCTGGGGTAGATAACATTCTCTACCATTAATGAATTTCTTCAGATTAGCCTATTTTTTCCACTTTTTGTCTTGCAGCTTGTAGACTACAGAGTGGAGTTCAGCAAGTGGTGGGTGTCAGAATTCAAGACTATCAAGTTTCCCTCTCAGGGCACAGTCTTTGACTTTTACATCGATCCAGAAACGAAGAAGTTTGAGCCTTGGTCGAAACTTATCCCCCCGTTTGAATTCGATGCCGAAATGCCGTTGCAGGTACGCGGCCTGTGCATGACTGTGGTCGGGGAGGAGTACGTGGGTTTTAGGGACTGTACGTGGGCATCTCGATCCAGTCTCATTACAGGTTGAGCACTTCATAACGAGGAAAGCATTCTTTATGAGGGACAACTCAACTACCCATCTTTCTTTACTGTGCTTTGACTGTGAAGGCACATCCTCCATTCATCTTCCAAACACGAGTGATGTGCCTGAGGGGCAGGCTCAGAGCCACCCCAGTGACCCCAGAGCTGGCATGCCCAGGGTGCAGGATGGAGGATGCGTTTGGCCTGCAGGAAAAAACAGGATGTGAGACAGTGTCGTTACAAAGCCCGTGGGACACCATGTCATCATTCTGCTTGGCTGAAACTAGACATGTTTTTACGATTTGGACAAAGAAAGAGTTTCTTGCAGCTACTGAATTGCATTTGCCAGCTACACTTTTCTTTCCTTTTAGAAATGCCACAGTGAGCAGATGACTTGTAAAAATTGTTACCATTTTAGCAAAATGTGTGTTGGTGGGGAGATCCAGATGCTGCTCCCAGCATCCAGCTGTCAAGTTTTCATCTGCACAGGCAGGTTGATTTTAACGGTTGGCAGCAGCATATTGTTCCCTTCCTGGTGCAGTCTGGAAACTGGGGTCACCTCACTCCTCCCTGGCTCTCCCAGTTTTACTTCTCCCCAGAACCATGGGGTTGTGGCAGGGGTGGGGATGCTGACCTGGTCCTTCTGCCCCTCTCAGGCCTGCCTGGTGCCCACCGCTGAGACGGTCCGTGTGCGGTACTTCATGGACAGGCTCCTGGAGCGCCGGCGCCCCGTGATGCTGGTGGGCAACGGTGGCACGGGGAAGTCTGTGCTGGTGGGGGACAAGCTCTCCTCATTGGACACAGATGCTTACGTGGTGAAGAAGGTCCCATTTAACTACTACACCACCTCTGCCATGCTGCAAGGTAAGGCAACAGACGAGTCACGGGACTTCTGCCTGGCAGGTTACCGAATTCCTGGTGGGGTTTGGAGCGGGGTGTGCACTGCGGTGCTTGGGAGAATATCTGTGGGTGAGCTGTCTGTGTTGTTTGTGGGCACTGCGCTGACACCCATAGACTCATGAAACCCACTGTGAAACCCTCAGCTCAGCAGACCCCTGGTTTTGTGGAAGATGACGTTTTCCAACATGAGGGTTTGAATTCTGAACACCACAACTCTGGCTCAGGGCTGTGCCAAAGTACTGACTTAAACCTGCTGCTTTGCACAACATGCACCTCATACTTGAGGTGTGTCCTGGAGGGGTTTGCAAGCCATGGAGATGTGGTACTGAGGGACATGGGTTAGTGGGGACTTGGCAGTGCTGGGGTAGGGTTGGACTTGATGATCTTAGAGGTCTCTTCCAGCCAAAGCACTTCTATGTGTCTTCAGTATGCTTGAATTTAAGCCCATACTGAATAGGTTGGACTTCTTGGCTAGGATCCAAACTGTCCTCAATGCAATGACAGAAATCACATCCCAGTTAGCAGCCAGGATGATGCTAATGGATATGTGCAGGCTGTAAGCCAGGGGTGCTGGTTCCTGGTGCCTCCACATCCTGCCACAGCCCATCGTGCTCCATGGAGCAGGTCCCACATCCCCATCTCTCTGGGGGGCACAGGGCTTGTGGACCATGGAGGACTCAGAGCCCAGGCAATTGGTGGCCCTGGGAAAGTCTGTAAGAATATCACTGATAAGGATTTGGGCACATCACTGACAAATGCGGTTTGAGACTAAGAAAAGGTCAGTTTTGCCACATAGTCTCTTCAGTGCCAGAGAGAAAGGAGGGAATTCTTGAAAAGTGGCCCATTTTGGAATGGCATTTTCACTTTGCCTTGACCAAAAGAGAGATCAGATAATTTTTAACATGTATTTACTTTCCAGGAATGAAACAACCTGGTTTGTTTTGAGTTGAATTTACAGCTGTGAGTTGCCATGAAAAAAAAAAAAAGCTTCCTTTGTGTGACTTGATTTGACCCCAATATCCTGAAATCTTTTTATTCCCCCAACATCTGCCAAGCATCAGGGAGACTGAGGGTTTAACATTCACTGTCTGGGTTGCTCCTGGTGAAGTGGTGCTGGATGGGGACATGCTCACAGCCCAGACCCGGTGCCAAAGGCAGTGGGAGTCCAGAGCTTCTCCTGTGCTCTGCCAGGCTCCCAACTCCACGAACATTTTAGGAAAGGTGTCAGAGCTTAAAACTGTCCTAGAGAACAAGTCTCATGAGAGCAACTGAGGGACCTGGGGTAGTTTAGTCTGAAGAGGAGGCTGAGGAGGGACCTTGTTGCTCTCTACAACTCCCTGATAGGAGGCTGTAGAGAGGTAGGCACTGGTCTCTGCTCCCGAGTAACTCATGATAGAACAAGAGGGAATGGCCTCAATCTGCTCCAGGGGAGGTTTAGCCTGGACATCAGGAAGAACTTGTTCACTGGAAGGGTTGTCAGGCATTGGCCCAGGCTGCCCAGGGAGGTGGTGGAGTGCCCATCCCTGGATGTGTTTAAAAGCCATGTAGATGTGGTGCTTGGGGATATGGCTTAGAGGTGGGTTTGGTAGAGTAGGGCTGATGGTTGGACTCAATGATCTCAGAGTTCTTGTCCAACAAAAGTGATTCTATGCTTCTATCCTCTGGGACTGATCTGCTTGCAGAGCGGGGACAGCACAGGCTCAGCCCCTGCTGGGTAACCTGGGGCCATGTTATGGGGCCACATCAGCTTTCTGGGGCAGGTGTGATGGGGTTCTGGCCTTGCTGGTGCTCACTATCCCACGCTCTCCTGCCCATGCCTCTGCCCACAGTGTGAATGCAAATTATTTGGGTTTCAAGCAAAAGAATGGGTAAAATCTCACCTTTTGCCCAGTCTTGCAGCCCTCGTGTGATGGTTACAACCTCCCCCTTCCCCTCCCAGCTGCCCCTTTTCCTTTTCTCTGTGTCTGTGTGAAATGCCCTTGAGCTGGTAAATGAGCTGAGCTGTCTGCCTGTCTGTCCAGCTGCCCAGCTGGGGGACTGTGAGCTCCTTTGTCCCCATCTGGATGGGCAGCTGTTGGAGTTTCCATGGGCAGACCTGGCAGCACATCCCTCTTGACTCCGGCCGTGAGCTCCAGGCTGAGACGGCGACCTGCTTCTGCAAGTCATCCTGCCTCTGGATGAAGATGTGCCTGTGAGGTTTGCATTTCGGAAGCACCATTTATACTGCTTGGCCTGCTTCCCTGCTGCTCCTTTTTTTTTTAGAGTGAATTTGCCTCTTTTTGTATAGTTTGCCAGTTGGCTGCTTTTTATATTTTTTTTTTTCCCAGCAGGCACATCTTAAAATTTGTAAAACATGGATACAAAACAAATTTAGGATTTTACTTTTTACTTTGAAAAGAGCCTTCCACTCATTTCTTAGAGAAGGTGTCTGTTGGTGCAGAGATTTTTAAGGTGTACCTTCTAAGGGAAGCACAGGTAGGTGGCTCAAACCTCCCTCCCTGTGCCACCCAATGTGCACAGGGGTTCAAAGGAGCCAGACCCTCTCTGCCCAAGCCTGAAGCCGATCTGGGGATTTTCTTTGCTGTTTTCTCACTGAATACCACTTAATGGGGCATTTGCTGCTCTCTCAACCCATTGTCCTGGACCTGCACTTTGCAGCTTTCTCTGCTTTGTGCCTTCTTGGACCTTTGCTCCTGCATCAGATGCATCCCTGGCATCCGTCATTCAGCACCTTTCTGCTCTGAATCTGCCTTGAAAAAATGACAATAAATGTTGGGGGGTTTTGTTTGGTTTTATTTGATTTTTTTCCCCCCTTGGTCACAGGGAATAATATTTTTTTTCCCCCTTGGAGCATGCTGCCAGGGAGGTGGTGTAGTCACCATCCCTGGAGGGCTTCAAAAAACGTGTGGACGTGGCACTTGGGGACATGGTTTAGTAGTCATGGAGTATCGGGTTGACGGTTGGACTTGATGATCTTGGAGGTATTTCCCAACCTTAATGATTCTAGGATGAAGAGCCAGCAGGCAAGAGGAGCTACACTTGCTCAGTCTGGTTTGCAGGGGCTGTTTCTTTCAGGTGCTAATCTGAGCATGCCAGGAGCTCAGAGGCAGAGACATGGACCCTTTATTATTATCATGAGATACAGCTTTGAATTAAAATGCAGCTTTCACGAACATGTCACTTGATCCCCAGTAATTGCATTTCAGTGTGATGAATCTCCTGCATACTTGTTTAACCTCAAAAAGGGCTGATTTTATATGTTAAGGACTAATTAAATTTAAATTAAATGCTTATTTGAAACACTTAATTTAACTTGCTACCAGAAATTTCAAATATTGTGGTTTTATTGAAGGGAGAGAGAGGCTCCACTGAGGAAAGATTCATCATTTTTCTTAGCACAGTTCACTCCTTTGTGCAGCAACTGTCTATGACACAAAATCAGCTGCATTTTGAGTAGTGGGAAAGACAAGCTGTCTGCAGTGCACTGAAGCAGTAAAAAAATTGATGGTTTCAAAGATTTGTGCTCTGAAAAAAACAGAATATAAATCTTCCTTAATAAATTTTGCACATGATAATGAATGGCCCAAGTGTACATTTTCACAAGATTTTCATAAAAATTCCCAGTCCCATTTACATTTGCCAATCTTCCCTAATTACAAAGGATTGCTGCTTACTGTGCTGCTATACAGCACCTTATAAGTTTGTTGGTGACCTAAAACTGTGTAAATTAAACAAATTCTGCCTCCGGCTTCAGGGGAGCAGAGATTGAGGATGCTCTCCAAGAAAGCACATGGCAGAAAACCATGGTTTTCTCCCAAGGTCTGGGACAGGAGAGCTGCTGCTGTTTGCCACTTAGAGTCAGTAAATGTTGCTCATGCCACAATCAAGGGAATCAATAACCTATAAAACATTATGTGCAGCAATGTGGGGTGGTTTTTATAAAATATCAGCCCAGTACTATAAATATTCCCCATATTTTACAATCTAGAGTAACGCATAACCTCAGCCTGCTGCTAAAACAAATTAAAATCTTCCAAAGCTTTGAAATGAGAAACTTTTCTCTCCATGCTTTCCCTTGCACAGGCATGACCCTGCCAAAAACTAGGTGGTAATTTGACAGCTTGTGTTGGAATTGAGTCTTGTCACATTATCTGGATGATGCTGGGAGGGGGGAGGAAATCAGAGAACCTGTGAATATTTGCTGCAGTTAAATAAAATGCATTATTTTGATTGTTCTGAAGACGTCCAGGAATTTGGCCCTGAAATCACCTATTTCTTTTGTCTAACCAAGGTAAAAAATGCACTTAGATTCACAAAATCAGCTTTGGCTCATAGGCTTCTGTTCCCACAGCATCTTCCTTTTTCCCTCCCAGGGCCAGCCACTCTTCCCCTTGCTAACATGTGCTCGCTGTGTCTCTGGGGTTGGCAGCAGAGGATTTCACTGCAGATCAAAATAACCTCAGCAAGCGAGATTGGGTTTAAAAAATCATGCAGAAGGGCTTCAGAAGGCTTTATCTTGCATGAAAAGCCTTTGTTTGCTCTGAAGCAGACCTGGTTTGCAGCAGACTGTTGGCTGCATTGTGCTTGAAGGGAGGAATTGAGAGGTTTCTGATTTGGGTTGAGTCAGACCAAAAAGCTGCCCCAGGGTCCGTGCCAGCCCCGTGCAGGGCTCCCAGCTGCTTTGTAGCCACTGTCTGGGGACAGCCACCATCCTGCTGCTGAGCAGCACCCTGTGCCAGGACCAGCTCTTTCTCCCCAAAAAGCAATGCCCAGCCCAGATGACAGCTGGAGGGGGCCAGAGGCTTCACCCTGTGCCCATCCTGCGCATAGCTCAGCTCCTCCTGGGGGTGCTGTAGCTGCAGACAGCACAGCACGGAGCTGGGCTGGGGGACCAGTGTTATTTCAGAGCACTGACTTAGCTTTGCTCCTCTCCCCCCTACAGCCATGCTCGAGAAGCCTCTGGATAAAAAGGCTGGCAGAAGTTACGGCCCCCCAGGAACCAAGAAGCTCGTGTACTTCATCGATGACCTGAACATGCCCGAGGTGGATGCCTACGGGACGGTGCAGCCCCACACACTGCTCAGGCAGCACCTGGACTATGGCCACTGGTAGGAAGCTGCTGGGCTTGGTCATCCCAGACCTTTCTTGTTCAGCTCCAGTGTCGGGGATGGGCTTTGAGAGGCAGTAAAAGTGTGGATCCCATCCCACCCATCCCATCCCATCCCATCCCATCCCATCCCATCCCATCCCATCCCATCCCGTGTTTGCTGTCGCATCCTGCTTGGGCTGGATCTTGCTGGGAGGCTCTGGGTGAACCAAGTATTGTGTGTTGTGCAGCCTCAGGGTTTCCCCTGTCCCCAGCAAACAAACCCAGGTGCTTGTAGCCTGGGGAAGAGGAGCTTTGCTGGCTTCTGCTGCAGCTGGTGACTGTGGTCCTGCAAGGGGAGCGCGGTGCCACGAGCGGAGCGAGCTTGTGGCTGGGACTCAGCTGAGCTGAACCCCCCTGCCCTGAGCACCTCCTGTGGTTTTCAGCCAGGCAGCAGCAAACAAGTGTTTTCTAGGCAGAGGTCATTTGAAGGGCAAACAGTTCGGTGTTTTGGAAAGAGGTTGGTGTGTTGTACACTGGAGCTGGCAGCACTGCCTAGGACAGGAGTGTTTGCAGCTCTCCCCGTGGGCAGACAGGGACAGGGACTTGTAGGAATTTCCAGTCTCAGCTGCTTGGGTGTCTGAAGCTTGGCCAAAAGCTTCCCAACTATGGAGACAGTGGAGGGGAGGCAGAAATTCTGGGCTGTGCCTGTTGGGGAGGTCAGACAGAAAGAGGGTTCTGCTGGTTGCATGGGAGTGTTGGTGGCAGGGGCACACAGCACGTCCGTGGTGCTCCCAGCACCCATCAGCACCCATTAGGGTGCTGTCCACTCCATGCTCCCTCTCACAGTCCAGTGGGGCTGCAGCTTGCTCCAGAGATGGTGAGGAGAGTGATGGGCAGAGCTCAGTGCCACCCTTAGGCTGCCTATCCCCACTGGTAACCCTGCCTGGGGCTCTGGCAGCAGACTTCCCATCCTTCCTGTGCAGGCAACGGGTGGGCAGCTGCCTCTGGCAACCTACTCACCTCGGTCCCATGCTGCTTCAGAGTCTGGGGAGACCCCCCTGCAGTGCTGGGGCAGCTCTGGAGTCCTCAGCAGATGTCCCTGCTCAGTGCAGCTGGGTTTTACTAGATGACCTTGAAAGGTCCCTTCCCACCCCAACCAGTCTGGGATTCCACACAACCAGAGGCAGTCCTGTGTTTTTCTACCATTTCCATGCAGGTGATGGGTACAACCCAAGGGCTGTGCTCAGCTCTTGTTACTAGCTCATAGAAATATTAGCTGCAGGTTGTTGAAGCAGAAAGATTTCCACCAAGAGCAGGACTTGTGGGTGCCACACCATGTAAAACAGACACGCAAGCCTGGGCCCTGCCTTGGTGAGATGCAGAGTTTGATCCCCCGAAGCCAAGTGGCCGTTGGCAGCCGGGGACAGGCGCCAAGGGAGAGGTGGCGGCCGTCGCCCGCAGGCCACGGTCGCTCTGTGCTCACTGCTTCTCTTTTGCCCAAAGGTACGACAGGACCAAGCTGTTGCTGAAGGAGATCAAGGGCGTGCAGTACGTGTCGTGCATGAACCCCACCGCCGGGAGTTTCACCGTCAGCCCTCGGCTGCAGGTAACGCCCTGCGGGCTCGGCCGGGGGCTGGAGCGTTTGGGCAGGAGCCTGGAGGAGAACCACGGGCTGATCCTGCTGCCAGTTTGTCAGGAGAAAAGGCACGGATCTGTTGAGTGACTGATGGTGGAGCGCTGGACTTGCTCCCTTATTCCCTTGTTTGTTTTTTCCTGACATTCTGCTGCTCAGTCAGAGGAAGAAGTCGCTGCCAGGCAGCTTAACACCTCCTGCTTCTCACAGACAGGTTTTGCCTTCGTTTAGCTAATATTTACCCCTGGAACACAGTCCATTAAAACGTTTTGGTTTTGAAAATTTCCTGTTGGAGCTGGTAGCACATTCTCATTAAAAGGAGGTGATGGTGGAGAAACCCGAACGAAGAAAACCAAAAAAATCCCCCCCAAACCATGCAAGTGTTGATGGTAACAGAAGCATAGATTTGGGAAGAGATCTTAAACCTCAGGGCTTGATTTTGGGGAGACCAAGCCTGGGTCGTAGAGGTAGTTATTATAAGCTCTGATGTTACTTATCCTTTCTCCAAGCCATGAGGCTGTGGTGGCAGAGCCTGGTCAGAGATACCTGCTGTTCCCTGTGCCAGCAGATCAAAACCACTGAGCAGATCCTGTTGGCATCCAAGAGGGACAAAAAGCAGCTAGAGGGACGATGTCCTTCCCACCAGCTGTGGGGCAGATGTTTTCCATGCTGTGGGATGAAGGTTGGCACATGAGAGGAGTGGAGAAGTACCCTGAGAAATGAGTGCCCATGGAAGAGCAGCTATAACTCAGTGGGGCAGCTGCTCAGAGCACTTCAGGCAGAGACCTGCCAGCTCTTGGGGAGCCTGGATAGTGGAGAGCAAAATTCATTCCCTCATGAAGAAACCTCATGACCAGTCAGCCCAGGGCTGTTAATCCCCACACTTACAGGCATGGAGTGCTGTCAGCAAAGAGTGGCTCCTCTTTGGAGGAGGAAGCTGTAGTGTTAAACTGAAGCATCCTGTGCCTGTATAGGGGCATCTGGTCTGTCTTTGCAAGCTCCGAATCAATAAAGGGAACATCTTCTGGGTGAGTGCACCTTCCGGGAGCTTTTTCAAACAGAGACAGTGGCTGGGCTTCACCAGAGGTTGGTGGGATCTTCAGAGCCCTTCAGCTCTTCAATGGACTGAACTTCCAGTGCAGCAGTAGTGAGATAGTTGAAAATCTCTTGTTTAGTGAGCAGAATGATGCCAGTTGCCAAGTGTCCTCTGCCAGGATGGAAGAAGAAAATAGCCTTGTTCAGATGGGCTGCGAGTCATAGAATTACAGAGCATCCCAGGCTGGAAGGGACCTCTAAAGATAATCTGATCCAACCTCTCCTGGGAAGGGCAGCCTGGATAAGACTGTCAAGAACTGTGTCCCATCACTTCAAATCCCCAAGGTCTTTTGACTGTGAGGTGGTTGCCCATCCCTCTGACCTTTCCATGTCTTCCTTTCTCTTCCCCAGCGTCACTTTTGTGTGTTTGCTCTCTCCACCCCTGGTCAGGATGCCTTGTCCAGGATCTACAGCACCATTTTAACGCAGCACCTCACGAGTGAGGATTTCCCAGCTGCTGTGCAGAAGTCAGCTCAGCAGCTGGTTGCCCTTGCCCTGGGACTGCATCAGAAAGTAGCTGCTACTTTCCTGCCAACAGCCATCAAGTTCCACTATGTTTTCAACCTGAGAGACTTCTCCAACATCTTCCAAGTAAGTGCAGTCACTGTCCTGTGGCACTAGGAGCTTGTCCCAGTGCCATGGGAGGCTGTGGGCCTGTGTTTCTTTAGCCCAGCTGGCCCTGGTGGACAATGTAACACAGTCTCCCACCTAGCAATGACACAACATGTGTGTCCCCTGAGAAAAGGGGGTGACCTTGGCCTCTTCCCTAGTTGCTGGTTCATTTTGTATGGATTCCAGAGCCACCACCCATGACCTTGAGGAACAACAGTTAGAAGCTTATTCACTTTCCAGCCTCTTATGGTCAACAGAGAGGGATGAATAGTTCCAGGACGAGGTGCAGGGTTTGGGTGGGTTGAAATGCCTTGTGGCTGTAGAAATGACCAATTGAAGGGAGCTTTGGGCTCCCGACTCTAGGACTTAAAGTTGAGTTTTGGTGAGTGTGATGGAGGTGGACTTGGCTTTGTGAGCCTCAGTTCCATGCATGTAAGTGTGGAGATTAACAGCACTGCTCCACAGCACAGGGAAATTATTTTATTGTCCTGAAGCAGGTGGTGGATACTTAGTGGGCTCCTGGCCCTGAGGACAGGAGAGCAGTGACTAGTTCAGCTGCTCTGCCTGGAGCCAGAACAGCTCGTTGACCTCTGCTGGCACATCCTCAGCTTCTCGCTGGTCAGCTACTCAGCGTGTCCATGGAGGATGGCATTTAAAGAACTGAAAAATAAATCCAAACCAGCTTTGACTTAACTGCTGAAACAATTACCACTGGAGCTGGTTCTGTACCAGGGGGCAGTTGTTCATCTTTAGAAATGCTTTCTTCCAACAGTGGAGGGTTTTTTTTTTTTTTCTGTGCAGAAATTTCTTGCCTTTAAGCAGGCAGTATTACTACTCAAAGAGCCTCTCAGAGTTTAAGGCTGACGAGTAAAGTTTGAGAAGGTTCTCAGCAGCCAAATCAAGAGGTTTGGAACACCATAACCTGCAGTAAAGTTCCAGTTTGTGGTTTGTTGCTGCCCTTATTAACGTCCGTTTTACAAAGTAGGCACTGAAAGCTCAGTGCCTTCTGGTCTGGTCCATCAGACAAGAGTTGAAGTAATGACAGGTAGTGGGAAATCCAAGAACAGGACCTTGAAAAAGCTAATAACTCCATTGTGTCAAATGGGAATCAGACCTGTCACTTGTGCTCAGCTAAACATCAGCAGCCTTTGTTGTTTGATGTGGGTCATGTTAAATCCTGGCTTCTAGTTAATCTGTGCTTTGAAAGGCAGAGAGAGAAAAACATTTCAATGGGAGGGTTTAATTTTAACTGTAGTCGGCTTGAAAGGTGCTAAGGTTGTGGGATATTAGAAAATGTCCTGCCAGAACTAGCTCCTAGGCCAGAGGGTGGGAGCTGTGACAGGAGCTCAGATGGCTTTTCATTTATCCCAAGGCTGCAGGAGTGGAGGAACCTGACTCCTGCTTCTCGTCAGGTCTATTTAAATTGTGGTTCAATTTTTTTGTGAAATCCTTCCTTACCTTTTGCTATTCATTCTTAAGTATTTTGTTACCTTAAATGTTCTTAAGTTTTTGAGATCTCCTGATTTCCTGTTTAGCTCTGCTGGAACACAGTTATTTTCCTGAAATTGTGAAAAAAGCTCTGGACTCTGGGAATGCGTTTCCATGTGTTGCATTTGTTATCTTCATAAGTTCATGATTTAGCTCGAGCTCTCTTGGCCAACCTGCTGCTCAAGCAGTGCTAACTTCAAAGTTAGGTCAGGCTGATCAGACACGTTCTGAATGTTTCCAAGGCTGGAGCTCCCATGGTCTCCCTGGCCCTTGTTGCACTGCTAAATCCACTCCATGGCGAATTTTTTATATTTTTGTTTCAATCAGAATTTCCCTGGCTGCAGTTTGTGTTTGCTGCCTCTTCTTTTGCTACGTACCTCCAAAAAATTTTGGCTCAGTCTTCTGCATAGCTCTACTTTATGTAGCTGTAGGCAGCAGCAAGACTCATCTTCACCTTTTCCCTGGGCCAAACAAACCCATTTCTCTCAGCCCTTCCTTGCATGTCCTGAGCTCCAGCATTTTACAGCCTTGGTGGTCTCCACTGAACTTGCTCCAATACATTGATTTCTTTCTTCTACTGGGGGACCCAAAAGTGGATTGAACTTCACACAGCTTTCCTCCAGCCTGTTAAGGTCCCTCCTTTGGGTGTAATAACCTCTCTGCTTGGTCAGTGTTGCCTGCAGAATGCCCAGGTCATGGATGAAGACATGAAATGATATTTTAGAGTCCTGGGGCTGTTTAACCAAGGCTGGGGAGGCCAGAAGGCTGTCCAGCTCCTCCTGCCAGGGACACACGGGTGGTTTTATTCTGCTGCCCATTCATGGGTGTCTAGTGATTCTGAAATGTGTCAGGACATCCCACCTGGGCTCCAGTGGTTGTACAAGGACATAAGTTGTCTTCCTTTATTGTATCTGCCTGTTCTATGTGGGAGTCTTGTCTGAACTGCTGGAGCAGTGTTGCTTTCAAGGCTCCCTTGGCTGTAGAGTAGCTGTCCCCTGAGATGAACTGTTTGGTTATGGCTGACTTGAGGAGGTTGTGGAAAATTCCATGTATTCCTACACAGTGATGATTTTATCTGCTCTTCTCACTTGATTTTCATCTTTGGACTTCACCTTCATCAGGACAACACCAAATGCCTCAGCACTGTACTCAGTGCTGCCACTGCTGCTCTGGCATCAGCTGCCCAAAGGCCACAGGCTGAAACTTTGGTTCAAGCCTTCATGTAGAAATAAGCTGATCTCTCCTCTGTGGCACCAGGGTGATATGTGGACCCCCACGGCAGGGTGGGACTGCCTCTCCAAGGGGCATCACAAGTCTTTAGGCAGGTTGGGGCTGGCAAAGGGCTGTGGATGAAGAAGGGCAACCAAAGGAAGAAGGAAGCCAGCCCTGGGCATGGTTTCTCTGGTGAACACACAAACACATTTAGGTCACTGCTGAATGTGGAAATCCACGAGGGCCTGGACTGAGTGATGCTCCTTCCTGATTTTGAAAAACGATAACAAGGAGACTCAAAATCTGTGATTATCTGCAACCCCCTGGGCTGATGGGCTGGCTTTGAGCAGTTACAGAAAGCTCAGCAAGTACTGTAACATCCAGCTGTAAGAAAACAGCTGAAATTTGCTGTCACATCTCATTGGAAATGTCAAGTGGAGAGGCTGGAAACCACAGTCCAGGGTGAGGAGCAAGAAGGGGCTGGAGCAGGATTCGTCAAGATCGTCAGGAAAGGCAGCCCTGGCTCCTTGTCCTGCATCGCTTACTGGTGTTACTGGTGCAGGGAAGGTCACCCTCCAGTCTTTCCTAGTCCTTTGGGCCCCTCCCAAGGTGTTATCTGTGACTTCTCCTCTGCAGCAGGTCCTGTCTGTGGTTAAAATCCAACACTGCCTTGCTTTGCCTTTCTGCAGCACCTTTTCATGCCTCTGGGTCCCACCATGCACCACAGAGTTAAATTGATTGGTATGCTCCAGGCAATTTACCCTTGATTAAAGAAGACAGGTCTCTGCAGTGACAGAGCTCTGGATTATGCTTTTAAAAAATATATTCCCTGCTGGCTCACACCAGAGAAAGCCCTGTTGCTGTCTTTCTTTCCATCTGAAAGGGTTACCATGGTATTTTGCTCTAAATTATATCTGTCATCTGTGTAAAATAATAATCATAGACTCAGCAGGGTTGTATTTTGCCTTTTATTCCCATTTCTATCAAGATTTTCAAGCAGCCTGTCACATAAAGTTCTGTGGCACTTGAGGGAGACCAGCCTCTATCTCCTCCTGACAGCGAGATGATAGCAGCAGCTCTGCTGTGCCTGGCTCCTGCTGAGCTTCTCCTCCACGTGGGCTTTAGTGCCCACCAGACTTCACGCTCCTTTGCACAGCAAAGGATTCTCATCTTTGCCCATGGTTAAACACACTGAAGAGCCCTGCAAACTTCAGTATTACAAATGCCCAAATGCACTTTGCGTGGTTGCAAAAGACACCCCCTCCTCACCCTTTGCAACAGCCCTGGGGCTTTGCACCCCCTCTTCCCAACCAGTTACACCCCCCCAACCCCTCTGCAGATCCCCAACCAGTTTCAGCGTGTCCCCCCCCGCCTCCC